GAGTTGAAAGAATAGAAATATTTATTGAGTTGGTGAAACTCATTATTTTTACCCTGATATTTTGCACATGAGAAAGAAGAGACAGAACTACTGCGGCACAAGTATAACTTGTAAAAGGGTTCCTATTCATGTACATTTGTTCATATTTTAGAAATTTTCGTTTTGTTTTGTTGAACTCTAAATTTTGATCTCCTGTTCTATATATATAACTATTGTATATATCACATGAGATGTTAGTGTAATATCTAGCTGGGCACCAACTGGGTAGAAAAGAAAAAAAAATACCCAATTGGACACCAGCTGGGTAAAAAAGAAAAAAAATTAAAAAACATAATATACATAATTAATTATAATAGAAAAAATAAGATAAAACAAAAAAAGAAAGACCCAGAGATGTGTACACCTTTCGTAGCACAAGGAAACTAGGGTAAATATATATATATGTATATATAAAATAATAAAAAAATAAAAAAAGAATATAAAGAATAGGAGAACAAGACCAAGTGATAAATATGTATATATATATATATCTATGTATATATATATATATGTAATGAAATAACATAGAAAAAAGTAATAAATAAAAAGAAATAAAAAGAGTGATCAGAGAGAGATGCAATTGTGATAGGAGAAAGGGTCGCAACGGCATCGACGACTGAGAGAGAAGGGTCTCGTCGTGTTGTGCGACGCCGCAACTGAGAGAGAAAGAAAGAGAGAGAAGAAGAAAAAGAAAAAGAAGGGAAGAAAACAAAAAGAGGGGAAGAGAAGAATAAGGAGAAAAAGAGAGAGAAAGAGAGAGAGAAGAATGATAAGGAAGAAGAAAAAGAAAGAAAAAAAAGAAAAAGAAGAAGAAAAAGGGAGAGAAGAAAGGAAAAAAAAAAGGAAAAATATGAAGAGGAGAGGAAAGGCAACAGGGAAGAGGAAGGAAGAAGAAAAGAAAAGAAAGAAAAGAAAAAAAGAAAAAAAGGAAAAAAAAAAGAGAAAAAAAAAAAAGAATTAAGGAAGAATAATGGAAGGGTGGCGACTAAATATGATGTTGGTTATACGACAACGTGTGCTGATTCGATCATCAGCACCTGACACTTTCGGTGACATGCGTGTGATGGCGTGTGGTGACGTTGGTGACCGGGAACGCATGTCCCAAGGTAAAGTTCATTCTTCATTTCGCGCAATATAATTTCTAAAATTACTCATAATTTAATATAATTTTTTTTTATTATAAACGAAAAAAATCATCCAAACAGTATTCGAATTTCTGAGAAAACCGTAGACCAATCTAGAAAGGATTCCCAAAGCTTCCTTGATCGCACCGTAGGTAAGAATTATGTGTATTCCATATGGAGATATAAATTATATGTTTCTGTAAACATGTATATGTATAGTGCATTATGTGTGAATGTTTAAATATATATGTAATGTAATATAAAAATAATTAATATGTCTAATTTGTATTTGTTTGTATTATATAGTATGTATATATATAAAAAAATATACAATGAATTATATATGAATTGATGAGAACATAACTAATAAGAACAAATACGTGAATAGTTACGTATGGTGTGTTGTGATTGTGTATACGTATTTAAGTATGAATGTGCATATGTATCGATAGAGATTGTGTGTGTAAATATATTTATCTGTATGAGATATGTAATGAGGGTACATGTCTATCTTATAATATATGTGTGTACATGTAAAATTTGGGTACACTGCACTTGTTGTGTGATCTGGTACAAATGTATGACGTACTGTACTTGTTGTGTGATCTAATACAATTGTGCAAGAAATTTGAGTATCTTGTACTTGCTGTGTGATCTGATACAAGATGATTCATAAAGTGATTTAAAATGTATACTTTTTATATATGTGATGATATAATGTATTGTGTGTGTGTGTATATATTTAATTATGCATAGAAATTAAAATTTTATGTATGAAATAAGTGAATTGAAAACCAGAGAGATTTGAAAAGAGTATAAAGTATAAGGACCCAGAATACCTACTCGTTTAATCTGAATTGAGGAGGGGAGTGTATGTGTATGGCTAAACTTCAGCGGGTTTGGTGAACCTACATATGGATAGAGTTTGAAACCTAGTACAGACGTGGATAGGTGTTTATGAGTGGATCACCTAGCAAATATAACTGTTGTGGCCAATGTGAGATTTTGTGTGTGTGCTATCCATGTGATGAAGAGATCCATTTCGCCTCTCATCGATGACGATATAAACAGCATCGCGCGATGAAACTTTATATGTGATATTCGAATGTATGTGTGATATTCGAGTAGAGAAATATTACGAATAAAAAATGTAAATAAGAAAAAAGAATGATTTCATAAATAAAATTTAGGAATAAGAATAAAACATAACGAAAAAGATTAAGATAAGTTTTTGTTAATGTTTGTTGTGTAGTGGATTGTGATGCTTTGTTGACATTTTTTTTATTATAAATATTATTTTATTTTATATATTGTTTGAATATATGTACGTAAATCTCTGTTATAGAATCTTTTTTTTTTACTGAACTCGTGAAACTCACCTCAATTCACTCTCATTCAGGTCGGAGGAGATGAGAAACAAGTTTAAGATCAATAGAAGATGGTGAAGAAAACCTTGTTAGTTTCTATTTTAGATTTGTAAATTAATTTCAATGCCTTAAGTATTTGTAAACAAATAATCATCATATCACAAAAAAATATGTATTAATTCTTTGACCTCGAGAAAAAGATTATATTTTTACAAGAGTGGAGGAGAGGAGTTAGTTCCAACTTCTCTCTCACAGTGTAGATGTTATACTGGTTTATACAGACGACTTTAATGCTCCACATCAATGGTTATGGACAGGTACAACCGCTATGAATATCATAGTTATGAGAGGAAGATTAAAATCATTTGGGCGGAAGGAATCGTGAGGAATCTATATATAATTATGACACAAATTTAAGAGCTTGTCTCTGTTCTTGTCTCGCTAAAAAAAAATCTCTTCTTATTTCAATAACATACATATACATATATACTACAGCAGTCAGCAGATGAATATATAGATATAAGAAAAAGATTGCGAGCAGAAGAGGCTACTGCTAGAACAAGGAAGCTCATTGTCTGCATGGCTGTTGTAAGTACGTATCGTTTATTTTAATATAAGAGCTGAATTATCTTAATTTTTTTAATTAATTAAAAAAATACAACCAAAAATAATAAAAATTAGATTCAACCCAATATATAAATTTTAATACGAAAAAAATAATAGAAAAATATCAAAGTATTTAATTATCAATTAATTTATGTGGTCCTTCGTGGAATTTTCTGGTTTCTTAGTGGTCCACTAATTTATATCATCATCTTCCTTTCACATTTAATTCATGGGTAGCCCAAAATTTTGGATACGGGTGTCATATATGAACCAATAAATGGAATACTACAAGCATTGATATCCAAAATATAATAATATTATTATGACGAGAATTTTATGGCATGATTACATACTTTAAATATATTATTAGTTTTACCCTTATGAGAGAAATTGTGGACTATTATTATAGTTCAAAAGCAACTCATTATATGTCTAAAACGAAGGGAGGAAAAGGGGTTACCATTAAAGTGGACATTGAGAACTTATGACTGCCTGAAATTGGGAATTTATTAAAGACATGTTGCCATTAATAAGGAACTTAAAGATTTAAAGACTAACTTAACTATGCAATTCTTAGATTGACTCCTAGGAAGATTACAAAGGATGGTAGTAATATAGGAAAAGGTATTGTTCTTCATTTTGTATCCGCCAAGACGACCCTTTATCTTTATATTTACGTATTGCATATAAAGTTGTTAAGATCGTATAATTCGTTAAAGTTTTCTTTGCAAATTAACTTTGAAAGCTCTAAAAATGTGCAAAAAATGACCTCTTTATCTCATACGTTTTGTTTGATGATGATTTTTACTCTTTTCTAAAATATATTGGTATCAAATAATATTTTATTTGTTATAATTATGAACATAATCCTTTATTTCATTTCATATTTTTGAACGTTAGAAGAGTATTTTATGCCCGAAACATAATAATTTATAGTATTAAATTTAAACACGGTACAAATGTTCTTAAAATATTTATTCTAACTTTTTTTTAATTTAGAAAATACATTACTGTCTTATCAACTAAATTTTTTAAGAAAGAAAAAAATCTCGACTAGCTTATACTGACCAAGGAACATCTATAATTTAGTTTGCAAGCTTGTTTTCACGCACTTTTTAGAATTTTAGTTTGCTTAATTAACTTACTTTTGGGTGTTTGATTTCTTACTTTAAGTTGTTTAAATTTGAATAATCCAATTAATTTACTCCAAGGTTGCTATAAAGTTTTAATGTGACAAATTACTATATCATTCATATAATAGTTATTAAATTAAATTCTGCTACTATTATAACATTGAACGATAACTAATTTTATCTCAATTTATTTTTCTTAATGCGAAATTACGTAATTTAAGAATATAGCTTAAATATACATAAATCGACAAAAGGGTTATGTGGTTATCTGAATTTTTGTTTAATATAAGATATATTACGATATATTAGAAAAAAATTATATATATACATATATTAAATAGTATTATTGAGACTACACATTGAATACAGATCATATCAAATTTAATATCATGTTCTTCTCCTTGCAATAAATTTTCGAGTGGAGCAGATTTGAAGATTTTTTCATTTTAAAGTTTTGTCCTATATATATATATATATATATAGAGGACCGCAGATAATTCAGAAAATGGAAATCTTTCGTTAAAGTAATACATAATTTTAGATAAAATTTATTCAGATAATTATCTTGAAGGAATAATTAATAATAAATTTAGAAAAAAAAATTGGGTTATTCATCTTATTGTATTTCATGAGTGGTAAATAAGATTAAAATAGGGATGGAAAAACAAGAACAAAAAGAAACTCTTTAATTTAAAAATTAATACAACAAGTTTTATTTTTAATTTTTATAATTTGTAAAATTAGTTCATGAGAGTATAAATTGTGTGAAGGAGTGTTCTTCGGTGTTCGAACCAGCTTCTTCTTCTCTCTGGAAAGCAAAAGATAGACATGGCGTCGTCACCAGAGACTGAGCACCCTGTTAAGGCCCTCGGCTGGGCGGCAAGAGACTCTTCTGGTCATCTCTCTCCCTTCAACTTCTCCAGAAGGTTATTGGGTTTGGTTTTTCTTACGACATTTCCTTCAAATGAAGTTCTTAAGATTCTTGGCAAAAGCTCTGACGTTGATACCTTTGTTTCTGTATATATCTATATATATATATATATATATATACACATACATGTATACATATATGTTTGCAGGAAAACAGGCGATGAAGATGTTAGATTTAAGGTTCTGTATTGTGGCATATGCGATTCAGACCTTCACAACCTCAAAAATAACTGGCGAAGAACTTTATACCCTATGGTTCCTGGGTATTACCAATACTTTTTGTTTGCTTTATATTTGATATGAAGTAAGATTTGCAAGTGAAAATAGAACCATTTATTCTTTTAAAAAAATCAGAAACTTCACTCTGAATTTCATACATGCATTTTATTAAAAACAACAAAATTATGAAATTATGAAATTATTTCAAAATAGGTTGAGCAAAGCCCATTATGATTTATAGAACAAATTATTCAAACACAAAGAAAAGATTCAAAATATTTTCTTTTCTAATACAGAAATTCTCATTTCTTTACCCTTTTCATGCATATCTCTGTCAAAAATTAAGATTTTTATCATTTGTTTTGGTTTTGACTCTTGATAGTGGTTCATAATTGGGAGCTAAATTGTCCTATAAATAGTGTGTGTGTGTGTGTGTATAGAGAACATATTATTGTCACTACCATAGCAACAAAATCTGGCTTTGCAGGCACGAAATTGTAGGAGAAGCCATAGAAGTCGGGAGCAAGGTTCAAAAGGTAAAAATTGGTGATAAAGTCGGTGTTGGGTGCATGGTTGGTGCATGCCACTCCTGCGACAATTGTCTCAATGATCTCGAAAATTACTGTCCTAAAATCGTACATCCCTTTAACAAAATTGACCTTGACGGAACCAGAACATATGGAGGTTGCTCGGATCATATGGTTGCCAATGAACGTTACATTATCCGATTTCCCGACAACATGCCACTTGATTCTGCTGCACCTTTACTCTGTGCTGGAATTACAGCATATAGTCCATTGAAATATTACGGATTGGGATCACCAGATAAACATATAGGTATTGTTGGCCTTGGTGGGATCGGACATATGGCTGTTAAATTTGCAAAAGCCATGGGAGCTAAAGTTACAGTCATTAGTTACTCATCTGCCCAAAAAAATGAAGCTCTGGAACACCTTGGTGCCGATTCATTTTTGATTACAAATGATCAGAAACAGATGGAGGTAAATAACTAAGTCAATTTGATGTACATAAGATCAGAACATGTTGGCAGTATGAAATTGTATGTCACTTACAGAAATTCACCATACTTTGTGCTTATACTAATTAATAGTAATGAGACTTTGCTACCATGTTCAATCCTGATAAAAAGATGGTATTTCAATTTCTTTTTTGAGATTTAGGAATTAGAATCACACCCTCAAGAAATTCATTTTTGTGGGGTAATTTTTTATATCCAGATGAGTGTGGAAAATTAAAACTGGACCTATGAAAATTGAATGTCTCAATTGCCTAGCTAAGCTTGATGAATTGATGAAGATATTCAGTATGCAGGCTGCTAAGGGCACTTTGGATGGTCTTCTTGATACAATTCCTGTGGTTCATCCCATTATGCCATTGCTTGATCTATTGAAGCCTCATAAACAACTAGTGTTACTTACTGTACAAGAATATAAGCCACTGGAGTTCACTGCCTTTCCTTTAATGTTGGGTAAGTACAAAAATATTATTTTTCATTATTATATCTTTTAGTAGCTCAATAAAAATTACATCCCATTAATTTTATTAATGAATTTAACGTTTTGTCGAGTTTTTTTTCTTTACAAAACTATAAGCAAGTGATATTTAATATGTTATTAATCAGATTCAACACTTCTTAATAAGTAGTGATTAAAAAATTGAACTAATAGAATGAATCGTGTGAAAACTTTATACAGGAAGGAAAGGAATTGTTGGCGGTGCCATTGGTGGAATGAAGGAGACGCAAGAGATGGTTGATTTTGCAGCCAAACACAATATAAAACCAGATGTCGAAATAATTTCAACGAATTATGCGAACACGGCTATGGAACGTATAGCTAAGAGTGATGTTAAATATCGATTCGTTATTGATATTGGCAACACTTTGGAAGCGACAAAGCCTTTAACATATTGAACTATTTGCGGATTTCGCCCATAATGTTTCCGAATTTATTTCCTAATGTATGGCCTAAATAAACTCCAAACTAAGCAATGAATATTGTAATATTGGCGATTTTGTTACGATCGCTTTTACTAAGATGCAATTCAAATTATAGTCAACATATTTTATTTTATTTTTTAATAAATAAGGAAAATGAAAATTGACAAATTTATTTTATTTTTTATATATTGTTGAGTACATAAATTATATATGTGTATATATATATGTAAAGAGAACAACTTGTCCGATTGATAATAAACACATGTTGGGTCATGGGCGGCATTGGATTGTTGGGCCGTATTTGCCCAAGCCCGCAAGTACAAAAGAAAGTGGGTTGTGTGGCCCGTTTTGTGTTCTATGTTATTAGCGTGTGTAATACATATGTATATACATTCAACTAATTTGATAATTATTAAAAGTATTTTTAGTAATTTATACGTAGGATGAATGAATTTATGAAAAGTAAAAATTAATTAAAAATTCAGCTAAAATAAATATGATAAAATCTGTACCAAAATGTTCAAAAAACAATCATACAAAAATATCAAAATTTTTAACATGAAAAACCCCTTTAATATGAATGATAAAAACTACGGGACCTCTCCTGATCTAAGTAAAAAAAGCTATATTATAAAAATTAGTATTTACAGCAACAATAAGTAACCAGTATAATTCTCAAATAAATACTCAACAATAAATCAATCGAGCAATAAGAAATAAATAAAAGAATGGAGAAATATACCAAAACAGCTAATGTTCATGCGAAACGGATATATTCTGATTGTTCAAATCTGATATTCACGGTTCAGATTAAAAAGTAATTTATCACGAACATAATCAACAAATTTCAGCCTCATTAGACCACAAATGACAGTTCGATCGTCGGAGAAAGTTAAATTGGTCAGTGCAAGAAAGAAAAACATGACCAGTAATTTCGAACTGAAATTACCGAAAATTCAACCGTCGAAAATCAATCCCTACCGTTCAGAATGAAGAACAATGAGTTTTTTAAATACCCACTAAATTTCAGTATGATCTAAAAAAATATCATGTCTATTCATAGAAAGAAATAAAAACCGTTTGACATAATTTTTCAGCAAAAATTTTATTTTCTATTTATTTTTTATTTTAGTGACTAAAAATTTATTTTTATACTATTTGTTATTATTAAATTCTTATACTAAAAAAAATCCTAATAAACCTAATGAGTCAAAAAAAAAAAATGAATGGGCTAAAAAATATTTAGATATTTTTTTACTTAACGAGGGAACGCAAAATACTCAAAACGTTGGCCGCTAAAAATGTCACTAGAAGTAAGAGGTTAAGGTTGTACCGAATCTCTTCAAGTAATTTCGGAATCCACCACATGTTTTTCATTCCATTCATATATATATATATGCACGTGTATGCATGTATAAACCCATGAAACCTACTTCGGCGAAGGAACTTGTCAAACACGGCTCGTCCCAGACCATTTATGAGTTTTGCGGCTGAGTTGCTAACGTCACCCTATAGGTTATCATCTCTCATTCCGTACGTCATCGTTTTATAATCCTCACCTCCTATATATACACTCCCACCCAATGCAACACCGCATAACCAAATTACACATACAACATCTCTCAGATTTGCTCTTGACAAAACACAACCCTAAAAAGAAAAAAACACATCCATGGCGAAAGTACCAGAGCAGGAGCACCCAAAACCTGCTTTTGGCTGGGCAGCTAGAGACTCTTCTGGTGTTCTTTCTCCCTTCAAATTCTCAAGAAGGTACATGTGTGTGTATATATATATATGTAAATATCAATCTTGGGTTTTCTTGCGTCCTCTGTATTTTCTTTTTACATTTGAAACTCAGATTCAGAAATTGTCAATGTATGTATGTGTGTATGTGTATATATATATATATATATTTATTTTGTTCTCTCGTTTCATTTACAGGGAAACTGGAGAGAAAGACGTGAGATTTAAGATCTTATATTGTGGAATATGTCATTCTGATCTTCACATGGTGAAGAACGAATGGGGCACCTCTGTATATCCTATTGTACCAGGGTGTGTATTCATTTTAATTATCTTAATTTCTTCATTAAAGATTATCGGGAAATTTAATTACTTAATTTTGATACTTGGGTTTTCCAATTTTATAATAAATTTCACTTATTAATTAAATTTCTGATTTTTAATATCTTTAACTAGATTATTGATAATTTTTTTATAAAATTTTTTTAATGATATTATTTATTTTTGTGTATTTCTATTAGTAAATTGTTTTTATATTTTAATTTTCTCAGGATTTAAAAAAAATAAATTATATTTTAATAAATAATTATTGTACTTAATTTTCTTCAAATTTGTGGTTGTTAATTTTTAGTCTGATTTTTATTTTAAAATTAATTTCTATCATTTTTAGAATTCTCGGGAGATCCATAGACTTACTGGACACTTCTTGTGCCAAAAGTCAAAGTGGTCCACATTGACCCTGTTTAGTTCTTCTATTTCTTCCTTCTTTATAGCAAAAGTCAAATTGGTCATAAACAAATAGATAATTCTGTAAAGCAGAATACTTACTGATCAAAATTAAGCACAAGTGAAGTAGGGGAAAAAAGTAGCAGACACAATCATAACATATGAAATGATAATGCAGGCATGAGATTGTGGGGCAGGTGACGGAGGTGGGAAGTAAAGTTGAAAAGTTCAAAGTTGGCGACAGAGTTGGAGTTGGGTGCGCGGTGGGATCATGCCGCTCCTGCGAAAGCTGTGCGGAAAATCTGGAAAACTACTGTCCCAAAATGATTCTCACCTACTCTGCAACTTACTCCGACGGAACCATCACCTACGGCGGCTACTCCGATCACATGGTCTGCGACGAGCACTTCGTGGTGCGCATCCCGGACAAGCTTCCTCTCGACGGTGCCGCACCTCTCCTTTGCGCAGGAATCACGGTGTATAGCCCACTGAGGTTCTATGGACTCGACAAGCCTGGCATGCACGTGGGTGTGGTTGGGCTCGGTGGGTTAGGCCATGTTGCTGTTAAATTCGCCAAGGCTATGGGGGTTAAGGTCACTGTCATCAGTACTTCTCCCAACAAGAAGAAGGAAGCCATTGAACGTCTTGGTGCTGACTCTTTTCTGGTCAGCCGTGACCAAGACCAGATGCAGGTAACCTCTCAATCTGTATTATTTAGTTATAACTAAAAGTTCTTACGTGTAATATACACACATCAATCATAATATAAGTTGGTATATGTA